CCAATCTATCTACTTTAAATATTTGAGAAACCTTCTTACCTAGCTGCAACTGACCGATTCATTAAAAGCTACCATATGCTTGTATTATCTTCTTATCTGACTACAGTTTCATAAAAGACATTAATTCAGGCTAAATTTTATTTAATTAAATATCGAATGGTGTATATTATATAATGTATATGGTATTATCTATTTCATTAATATATCATTAGCTATTAATAAATAATATGAAAGATATAAAATTCTGCTAAATTAATTATTCGCTACTTTTTTCAGGTTATTATCTTCAACGTAGCATCAATAATATGCAAAATATAACTAAGGGGAAATTTTTATCTGTCCTTTCTTCTGCATTACCATAATAATCATGTTATCGTATTTAAGTATTGCTATGAAGATTACCGTTATAAATAGCTATACGGAAAAAGATTGATTACAAGTAAACTTATCTTTTCAGAGATCCTATAATATACCAGCACAATTACGGTTCGATTGGTCTATGATGTCTGTGAAGCAATAGCTGCTAAGTATACTGGAACTACATGTTCAATGAAACGCTAACTTGGAAGAATTGAACGAAGATTATATCACGGTGCTATATCGCTGTAGAGTAGTTAGCAATATTTAGTGGTATGGCTTCATCTAGATTATGAGATAGTTTATAATTTATGCGTCTTGTGCTGTAATATAGATAATCGTGACTAATTAACCTTGAATTGTATGTCATGTCTTGATGATTCTGTGAATGGACATATAGTAATTTAGCTGTCTTGTATTAGCTATTCGATATCGATGTTCTTTAGTATCATCGCATAAATTAGGCATTTAGATATAAATTGGATATCTGATGTCATGGGCGCTTTTGATACTAATTATAATTTCTAGCTACTGTAAAAAGATATACGTATGCGTATAAACCTAGCATGTTATGTAATAGAGTTATTTCTTAAGTTCAGTGTTTAACATAAACTTAAAGGTGTACAAATCGCTAAAGATCTGTAGAATTTAGGGATAGGTATTTCTTAGATAAATTTTTAATTCCCCAATACGTGGTTTAAAGAGACGATTTGCAGATTTAGCATTTTCGCTATCATGCCACAGAGCTGGTTCGGGATAGATTTAACATACATGTGAATGAGTCATTTTTATTTATTTAGAATACTGAAGTATTTCTCTACTTATAGTAGCAAGCTTTCATCATTGCACAGTAGATTCAAGATAGGAGTTACTACCTCACGACCAACTTCATTTATTGATACATAAATACAAGATCTCTATAGTATTGACATATCGGTATTTATTTATACGAGCGTGGTTGTGTCAAACAATATCGTATATTAAGCTACAGACTAAGTCAGCGGAACATATCTGACTCTAGCAACATTATTAGAATTACGGTATCCATTCTTTAATCAGCTATCAGTATCTTTAGTATCACAAAATAAAATGATAGCGAACAAATTAAAATTTATCATTTCCATCAGTATTATCATACTGCTTCATCGGGAGTCTAAAGTAATTAAGAGGTAAGAATCAAGCCACGATTTTTATATTCATTCCCTGAAAATACTTTGATAACATTATTATAGATCAATCCGCGTATCAGGCAACGCACTATTCCACATACGTTGAATGTTAATAACATTAGCCAATCTGTACCATATTTGATACGCTATCAATGCCGATAATAAAATATTAAATACAGAATTTGCATTTAAAATAAAAATTAGAAAGTTTGCCTGTCGGTTTTGGCAATATCATCACAAATAGTATACTTTTTTTATGTAACCACATACTAGTGTTAGCTATTGCATCATAGATAGCTAATTACAGTTTGATATGAAATATTTATTAGCAAAGTTATAGCGACAGATATAGATTCTCTATTAGGAGATTTAGAGTACTGGTATCTGTGTCTTTATTCTTATAGAGTATATTTAGTGAGGTAAATTATTCTATGCGGCAAGGTTAAGATAAAGCGTTTATTGCAGCACGCAATAGACAAGATCCCTTCTGTATATTTATTTTCATATCGATATATTTAGTGAGATAAATTATTCTAATATGACAAGGTTAGAATGGTATGTTTATTACAGCAAGCAATGGACAAAAACTCCTTCAATAAGCTATCAAGTGTCTTCAAAATATTCTAGCAAGAATTTCTATTCCTTAAAAAACTGCAATATATTGTATAAATTTGATTCATCTGACAATATAAAAACTATCTACCTTCAATCAATCATCTATCAATAATTTGTATTCAAATTAGCAACAACAAGATTTATTTTAGCAACACAATGATATCTTGCCAATTAATTAGCAAGATCAGGATAAATTTACTATCGCAAATCCATGATTAGCCGTCATTTCTAATTAAATTAAAGCACAGCAAGGCTTTCAGTCTCACTAGAAAACTCTTAATCCACTTTATTTATAAGTGATATCACAGATTAATAAGGCTTAGGTGCTTAAAAATGGTTTAGCTGTCCGTACCACCTCATTTTCAACAAATAAAGAAACTCCACTTGTACAGATTAAAGTAAAGTCTAAACCTTTAAATTTATGGCGCCGTTATTAAACTATTCGACCCCTAAAGATGTATTAGCAAGTATAGACTAGGTTATTGTACCAGAATATTGCGTCTAAACTTAAAAATATTTACTCCCAATTTCTGATATCATTCAGGGTGATTACACTCCGGTATGTTAACTAGTTTGCTATTTATATCTACCTATTCCTAAAGCTTATGTATCATAAACCGTAATCCGCTAAGGTTACAGTTAAGGAAATCTTAAACATTCCTCACACTGAAGTATATATCAAACGTAGCATCGAAACAAAATATGGAAATGATCCATAATATATATCATATACATTACTTAATTTACTTTAATGAAGAATATCTCAACTATTTTGACTTCTATGACAAATTCCATACAAGTATACAACGATTGGCATCTGATACGTTGTAGTGATTGGGTTTTACAACCCCTTAGGTTCGCAATCGTCTAACTCAAAATATGAGTTACTGAAATTGATCAAACCTCTAACGTGACACAAGATCAGACAAATGCTGTGTTTAACCTAAAAAGTATCCGTTTATTAATACAACGAGAAAAGCAACCACTTTTCTTCCCTCATAATAACAGTCGAAAATGGCTAAGATAAACCCGATAATCGACTACGCTTCCACAATAATAATTCCATGTTATCTAACAGTTATATTAAGGCATTACACAAAAACATCAGCTTATAAAGCCGACTACTGCGGCCTTCTATACACACATAGTACGAATAGTATAAGTACGCGGTTTCATCATCAGTAATCATGAAATTACCTTATAAGTATAGTAAATTCTTCTACTTTTTAATGCTACCGTACTTCAGTTACTACTGTAATTAGCTGAAACTACTACATACGTAATGTAACGTTTCCTATAGTTAATTGACCTCAACTTTTACCAAGTACTACCCTTAACGCACTATCAATATTCATCGGATTTTGATCACTAATATTTGAGTTCAGCATTTATATTTATTTACGTAGCAGTTAAAGTGAAATGATAACTGACGTCCATAAATCCTATGTTTAATCTCATTAGTAAGGGCAAATAGGCAATTAGGAAGTAAAAGTAGCATTTTATAGTCAAAAATACTTCGTTTACCAATCGCAATAATATCTCATAATGACTATGTTGGTAATTCAGTATACCAAGTATCCATTTATGTTAAATTATTCTTGAATTAGTAAAACAATCCACGTAAAAGGTGCTGTACTAACTATGAGCGATTTTAATTATGAAGATAAAATAGTTATTTACATCGATTTTCAAGGTTGCAGCATTCTCAGTAAGGTCTAAACAAAATTAAATTATACAATATTGTACTGTTACTCTTAGTACTAGTAATGAATTAAATCTCTAATTCTATTGCTACATTACACAGCCTATCTTGCATAGTCTATTGGTAGTATTCTTTTAGCACAAGTGTAACATTGCTATTATGTTAACTTAATCAAAATCAAATTATTTAAGAATGCAGACTGACCACAACAGTATGATATAGAGGATTTATTCATGCAATATTCATGTTTTCATACTATTGATTTTCTAGAAAGTGATCTCTATCCAAGTGTGATATATACCGATCACGAAATTCCAAATTTTAGAAAAATAAGGGCTTTATTGAATCTTATACAAAGAATAACTACACACAGCTCTACTCTAGCCGAATACTACTACTAAAGACTTCTAGAACGAAGTAACAGAATAATCTAAAGTTGCATGCTTTTATACTTTTCGTAGCATTCGCAGCTACAATCCGCATGGCAACCTTTTACCTTCTTTTACACATAGTTAAATTATTCTTAGTAAGACTATTCTACTGCGGACCATCATTAATCCCATATGGATACTACTACAGTATTTATGTAGATATTTATTCACACCAGCCAAAGCACAATGAATTAACGATATCCTAATATATAATTTACAGTTCTATTTTTACCTATAACCTTGTTAGTAACTCAACACCTTACTGTATATAGTCATCTGTACTCTAGCATAGAGTCTATACCACTACAGTCTATAGTTATGGCTACCAAATATCTCTTAGGATAAATATCTACCTGTCACAAAACAGCTTTGCAACAAGATAAGGCAATATACGATCAATAAGTCAATTCCTTGAACCACGTATCAAGGAACGATATCTGCACTATCACAAACACTTTTGCTCTACTAGCAGACTACACAAAGACTTAAACGCCTCGTATTTTACGTTAAACACTAAGTTGGACAATTCTTCTTTATTTCACGATATACTGCATTTATATACTATTCCTCAATAGTTCATGAGTCATAGTTAATACAATTAACATTAGAATCATTTACTGAATTAGATATTAATTTTAGCTACTGCTCCCTTAATGCAGACAACAGTATTTACGAACATAGACATGTAATGACTAATACAGAATAGTCAGATTACGATATGTCCTATCACGGAACATTTCCATGATAATTTACAGTCTACCATAAGTAAATTACAATCACAATGATTCGAACTGTAAGCAGATGATTTGCATTTCCTATTATAACTATTATAATTTCAGTATGTGTATAAGTGTCACTGTCATAAAAAGTCAGTGCTATATTAAAATACAGTATATCCAAATTAGAAGTTAACTAAATAAGGATAGTCTAACAGAATTATCCTAACATAGTTATTTCTACTGTAATACAGTATTTAACACTGTAACACTACCGTACATTATACTAAATATGACTAACAGTTTACAATCACAATGCTAAGTTACATCACAATATCCTTTAAGATTTAGTTATCTGGTTCTGATCGAATTTATGAATGATTGCATTGATATCGATGTTTTAAATCATTGACTACATCTTGTAACGTGACGAGCTCTTGACGCAATTTATGGTAAGTTTTGTATTTCTAGAGGAATATCGGTAAAACTATATCAATATACAGTATTGTTGATAATTTTTAATCCGCTAATTTAAAATTAGATTTACATTAGCATTATATTTGAAACTGGATTAGTTATTGTTGGAATAAGATCTATGTAGATTAGATGTAAACAAGAAGTTCCGTTTTTTATAAATTTATCCAAGTTGAACTTACTTGCTGAAGCATTGTTTGAAGCTTAGAAAGATCACTTAATTGTAGATATCTCCCAAACCTATTTCCTTCCCTTTTTATATCATATCGTCCGCTTGTAGTTGAACTAGTCATGATATGAGATGATGGCTCTATAAAACTTTTGGCGTCTTTCCATACTAACACCTATTGTAAAGATAAGTGCAAATATAATATTTTGTGTTATGAATCGCTTTTAAAATCAGATAAATTATTATTAGCAAAAATGTAAAATCATTACCTTACAAGAATACTAAATAAGTTAATAGCGATTTCAATACAAGTAAAATTACTAGCAAATGATAAAATCATAACATTAATGGAATACGTTTTATCTCTTTAGGAATTTTTGTTCTATTTGCTGTATTACTAAAATAATATTTAGCTTTATGAATCGTTTCAAATATAAGATAGATTATAATTATTATTAGCAAAACGCAAAACGATTACTTTGAAGAATATTGAATAAGTTTAATGCATTTAAAATTGCTGGGAAATGATATCATAACCTTAATGGAACGATATATTTTTTATTTATTTTGTCTGTATATGCGATAGGTATGCTAACCTTAGGGAGAAAGACCATAATCATAGTAACTGTTGTACAAACGATAATACAGCCGCTTCTAAGGCAATAGTTTAATGTTTCTTGATTGCCCACGGCAATCGATGATAACACACCCAGGAGACAAAATACTGATACATTATAAATAGAAAATCCAATAAACTTGGCGTCATTCAGCACTTTCATATTAACTCGTCTTGTTTCAAAAGCCAGAAAACTACCAAATATTAAGAGTAAAAATTTATATCCACAAACGATACCCAACCATACTGGAAAATACCGACATGTACAATAGTGTAGATCAGTCTGTATCCTTATGTCAGGATCATTTGGATCATCCTAGGGTATAAAAAGATATATCCAATAATGATCAGAAGACATGAAATTGTAATAGAGACAACAAACTATTTTCTATCAACATCTCTCAACTGATCAATTAAGAAGGTTTCTATGTATAAGGAATTATCGTGATGAAATAAAAAGTAGTGCATCACGCTAGCGATTAAAAGGCTAATCGATATTGATCAGAAAACATGAAATTAGAATCGAGATAATGAACTATTTTCTATCAACATCTCTTAATGATCAATTAAGAAAATTTCTGTATATGGAATTGTCGTTACGAAATTAAAAGTAATGAATCATGCTAGCATTTAAAAAGACATATCCAATATTGATCAGAGGATACGAAATTATAATAGAGGCAGCGGACTACTTTTATCAACACTTCTCAATTGATCAATTAAGGAAAATTTTCGTCTATAAGGAATTGCCGTTACGAAATAAAAAACTGGTGCAGTTTTGGACGGCCAAAGTAAATATGCATACCGGTAGTATACTCATAGAAGGGAAGAAGACTTATTTAAAATAACTACGGAGATTACTCCCAGATCTTACAAGAGTAAAAATAAAATCAAAGAATAATCGAACAAACTTAGTCTAATTTTCGATTTGCTGATCAACCTGAAATGGACAAAATTGCATTGATTGCTGTATCTAGCTAAATTACTCCACAGTTAGCTTCATGCCATAGGATGAAAATGATGTAGTATTGTCACGGTACGAACTACCGTGAAGAAATAGCTATCTAAATTTGGTTAATATAATATAGTGATAATATATTACAACTAGTTACTTACAATAGGAATTACTCTAATTATAAATGTGGTACAGTAAATTTAATGCTGTGCTGTAATGTGTACTGAAATGATTCTGTGAATGGACATATTGTAGTCCGACTGTGATAAATTAGTTAGTAGATGTTCTCACCTAAGTATTTTTTTATAAGATGACTCATGATTGTTAGCTGCTGCAGAAGGGTATATAAACCCGTCAGATACTTGAATAAAATAGTTCTCAATTGTCTAGTTGAGTTTAACGTAGGATCAAAGGCGTCTAAATTCTTGTGAGATAATTAAGGGATACTGAATCCCGGAGACTATAGAGATTTAGAGATTTATTTTACGTTATCCTTGTCACGAAGCTGGTTTGTGATAAGTATATTCTCCGGAATAGGCTAAACCGACCAATGGATCATGATGATTGTACACAATTATTCAATTTAACTGATCAGTTTTATATTTATGTTAAGTCAAGTTTATTGAGCTGGATATTTTATATAGTAAACTAGATCAGCTTGGCTGTTTTATAGAGTAGCTATCGAATAGTTATTTCATGAATTAACCATTAACTTATTGTAACTTTACAAAATTGCCATGGCCATTTTATAGGCAACGTAGTTTACTTTACAAAATAACCATCGATTTGGTTATTTTATAAAAAGACTGGTTAGCTTCAGAATGTTAGCAATTATTTAATGACTTTAAAAGTAGTTCAGTTCTTGGCAAATTATAGGCTCAGTAAACTTGACCTAGCATATCTACTGTTCAGCGTTGTGTAATAATTTCAGCTAATTGTAGTAATTGCTGGTGACTATTACTCTGCCATTACACGTTGATATTAATGAGTTTTCTACGTTTGAAGTAAATCTTACGATTGTGGTTATAGTTGAAATAGTTCCTTGAAGTTCATCAACAGAAGTCCAGACGATAAATATAACAATATCTACCACTAATAGATTTGCAACTGTAGTAATAAGATGCCAATCTTTAATAGCCTAAAAATATGGGGAAAAATAGAGTTTACAAATTCTTTCCTTTATATAAGAGAAATGATAAGCGATAATGATACTGCACAGAGTATCAATACCGTTTTAAATAAGATCAAATATTTAAGCAGTATTTTAATTACAATTATTTTAGAAGTCTTATTGGCAAAGATTCGATAAACACGCCAAGTTTTAGCAAAGAGTGAACCAAAGGCTAGCGTAAATCCATAGCATAACAGCCAAATTTGCGTACCACACAAAACATTTAAGTTTTTCACTGTTATTTCGCTATGATCGGTGTTAATACTAAGGACAATTACATCCAAGTAGCATAAAATACAGCCAATTGCAAATATGGTGTTTAAATGCGGACTGGATAACCTAATATTCCTGTAAATTTTATAGTATCATTAAACATTTAATTTAACATTAACCTGCACTAGTCTTCGTTGATATCTAACGGCATAATTACTATCAATACAATGTACTGCATGTCTAGAATTTAATCATCATAATTATTCATATTACAGGAATTAAAAATAACAATCTTTTTCCAAGTAAATAATATAGATATTTTTCACTGGATATCAGTAATACTGACCTATTTTTTCGGTTTATTATATTGAACAATAAAAATCCAAGACCAAATAATATGCCTACGCCAGCTAAAATATCAAATATAATTATTGCCGTACTTGATACTGTCAATTTGGTGATGACAAGAAGTGGTGGAGATTTTATTGGTTTTCCGGCTAAAAAAAATAAAATATTAATTTAAGAGTTGTTGAAATATGATCCAGCTATAGGGTCTTATAATATAGGATAAAATAAGGAATAAACAAAAGGTATAATTTTGGCTAAAACTTACAGTATATAACTTTTACTTACAAAAATTCTGCATTCAGTAGTAATAGGAGAAAATTTATGACATATTGGTTAATATTTCATTTAATACCTGGCCAAGTTATTGAATGAGAATTGGGATAGTTGGTATCGAATTGCACTCTTTCTATTCCAAAATGATAGATTCCTACGGTCACCATGGTGCCTTGGGTTATGTTTCCTAATTCAATTTTAAATAAAATCTTGTAGTTTTAGGCAAGCATATTACTATAACTGTTATTGTTACTACATAGTATAAGATCAGTTAATTATCAACTATTGTAGGAATTGATTCTACATAGGGACAGAAATTCATAAATGTTGACTAATAAGGATATGTAACGGTGTTGCCTTTCCGTTAGGATAGTTTAATAAGTACAGTAGTAGCTAATATAGAAAATATCCATATTTGTAGTGCTAGGTAAGATAAGCGATGCCTTAACGTGAATGTCGTTTATGATTGTTCATTACATATTTGATGTTGAATATTATTGTGTGATAGATAGTAGTAAGATGATTTAAGTTCTAGTTGATGATAGCTGAATTAGACAACTCACGTGCTTAGATTAGGATTAAGTATGAGTATGAAATTCAAAATATTAACTGATAAAAAAGCTTTGTAAGGAACATCTCAGTTCGAGATATTTCTCCTAATTATGGTATAATAATAATACTGTTGTTGTTCACAAATTAGACGGTTCCTATATAAACGGGAATATTTGAGTTGAGTGGGGTGATGAAAAGCTGTGGATGTATCTTTGCTAGTAAAAAGTTTTATCGTTACAATATTTCGCTGTGTGTGTTTAACGTTAACTAAAAGGGCGTTTAAGTCTGTAGCTACTTGTAGACTTTTACTGTACGTTACCTTGTCGCAGAGTTGAAACTGTGATAGGATATGAACAGAAATCGAACAATCATCACAAAAATATCTTGATGGTAATTGTATGTAATTCGATGACTGTATGATCGGTTGTATTTAGCTAATAAGTGACTATTTAATAAAGCAATATATTGAAACATACAGTATAGTTGTCACTTAGATTATTATATGTTTCATAATTTTTAATTAAAAAAATTTTGCAACAGAGACTATTTAGTATAATAATGTATTGACATATACGCGTACAGTATAACTGGTAATTAAATTATTATAATTAGTAAATACATTTTAATCATTTTTAATTAAATTCATGCCACAGTAAGTATTGAGTGTAATAGTATATTGATACATACAGTATAGCTATTGCTAAAATTATTATTATTGACCACAATCTTAATCATTATGAAATAAAATTTTGCCATAGTGACTATTTGGTATAAACGATATGTTTATACGCGTACATAGAGTACAGAAGCTTCTTAGAATATTATTAGAGACCAGATTTTTAATCATTTTTAAATAAAATTTTGCAACTTAATTCTTAAAGGTGATAATAGAAACATTAGTCATTGTCACAGCGTTATACACTATTATTTCTAGATTAGAGTAGAAAATCTATGTTAGGATAATTTTGCTGATTTACCCTCGTTTAAAGAGTTTCTAACTTAGATATGTGAGGCTTAAATATAGCACTAGCTTTCATGGTGATATATATAGATATAGCCTACTGAAATTAGTAGTTTAATTAGAGAATCGAGAATAATCCCAGCTACCCTCCCTTGAAACGGGCAGCGCGGGGGTATTTATACTACTGTTAGATGACTTTGATTATGGGTTCATTTCAATAGGTCAGTATAAGATTCTTACAGTACTTTTTACCTCAAGATTTCTTCATGTAAAACGAATAGCTCTAAGGTAGTTATTTCTGCAGAGTACTGATTATTAAAATAGTATTCGTTATATCGCTAAGGGTGGCCACTGGGCCTTTAAATTTTGATTTCATGTAATATTCTGATGAAAATTGAATAAACATAGAATCTTTATAGAGTTTCTACACAGCCATTTTGATTATTACATTTTCTTTTAACGGTTGCTATCGACAGAGCAAGCTTTGCTTGCATACTTAAGCGATCCTTAGACACATTATAATGATTGGTATAGAATTGACCACAGTACGAAGGGCATTGTACCGCACTGTAGATATCTTACAGTACCTACTAATCTTAACTTGGAATGTCCATCACCGTAAATTAGTTATCATAATGTGCTATGGACCATTAACTAATCTTAATATAGCATTTCATCCGCCAAGTCATTATTGAAATGTAGTATTCTACAAGCATAGCTGTGAATATAGTAGTGCCTGGCTATTACCGGGATATAAATAATGTCGGATGGTAATACTATCTGTTAATTATTAACAAATAAGTACATTATCGTAATCCGTCAGGAAAGCGACGTGAATTTTGTACTAGTCTTTTTATAATTTAAATCACTGCGATTGCAACTCACTTATGGTAGATTGTTGATTATCGTAGAAAAGTTCCGTGATAGGACATATTGTAATCTGACAATTTATATTAGTTATTCGATGTCTATGTTCGTAAATACTGCTGTCTTCATTAGGTAGCAGTAGATAAAATTAGCTTTCAATTCATTAGCAGGCTTCAATGTTAATATTACTAACTAGGATGTCTTTGCTATTGTAGAAGAATATATAAATGCGAAAATATCGTATAACAAAGAGAGTTCTTAAGATTAGTGTTTAACGTAAGATACGAGCGTCTAAGTCTTTTTGTAGTCTACTCGTGCAGGAAAATGTTCCTGAAAGAGTAGATATTGCTCCCTGATATGTGGTTCAGGGAAACGGCTTATGATCGTACATTACGTTATCTTCTTGCAAAGCTGTTTGTAATAGTCGTACAGTAAATTGAAGGGACTCCAAAACAGAAAATGACTAATGATATGAATGCAACAGTATACTATGGATATGATAAGTTGCTTTGTTGTGAATAAGCCTACTAAGGGTACAATAAACCAAGGCTTAATAGCTGTTCTTTTAATCATGAAATTACCATTCTACAAATTAACATAACGTTTGATAAAGTTTAAATTAGCTTAATGGAACAATTATACCTTGCAGTTGTAGTATGTGAACTTTTTCAACTCGTTCCCTTTTTTTGTAAGAAACATGACCCTACTCGTATGAAAATAATTATTCTTAAACATAAAGATAACGTCCAATTTGATTTATCTTCACTAAAAAGTTGGTCATTAGTTATACTTATTCGTTGGATATACGATAGCTACATTTACTAACCGTCAGACCTTGAAATGATGATTCCTTAATTTTTTTATTAATGATTCTCATGATATGTGAGCTTCTGTAGGTAAATTCTAATAGTGATCGATTATTTTCCCTTAATTGAGTATCTGTAGCGTTAAGGGCTAACGCTAATGTCCACATAGCATCATATGTGTAAGCTTTTAAGTGGTCATGGATCTGAGTTATCCGAGGAATGGAGTGAAAATGCTGGTAAGTTTCCCATGTCGTCTAGAAATCGGTATCAATTACTATTAGTGAAAATACAAATGATACTATTATAAATATTCAAGATTTTAACACTGTCATTATTTCCCGACAGTTATCTTGTATGAGGAGTAGTTTAACCACGTAAAGCTGATCAATAAATTTTAGATCGCTAACAGATAATATTGAATCGTATATATATACATATATATATGCACTGATACAAAATTTTGCAAAGCTCCATTAATAAATATTTGTGTAAAAAATTTTACCGATTTTTCGTGCATGTACATAAATGACTTATTAAGAATCCGCAAGCACTCCATAGATAGAGTGAGAGCAAAAAAATATGTCGATTTATTTTAGGTCATGCAGTAAAAATGAAATAAATCAGATTGAAACAAAAAACAATCTCATCATCAATCGAAATATATAAGAAATTTAGGAAATATGGCTCTTTACTGTCAAAATGATGGCTAAATTTGTTGATCAGTTAAAATAAAGAAAGTTTGAATAGGTAATTGACGTGCGTGAAACGAATTACGAACATCTCCAGTAATGCTGGGTTTTGCCACTGATTCTTATAATAAATAAATTTTAAATATCGGATTTCAACATAGTATTCTTACCTTGCCAGATATTGTTTTCGTTACATTTTCATTCCGATTAAAAGATCGATAAATTGCAAAAGAATATTTAACGACCTCGAAAAGTTGTTCCGTAGTACAATTAACACTTGCAACATCTTCATCAGCAATATGATACCATCTTTCTGGGTAATAGCCAGGAAATATCCAAATATATTTCTTTCCATAGATTTTACTATAATAAGCCTAAAAATTTTTCATAGTTTAATAATCTACTGAAATCTTCACAATTAACATTTAAATTTTCCTCACCTTGCATAGAAACTTTTTTAAGCCAGATAGTTCCATAACAGTTATTATAACTCTAATCTGCTTAGACTTTATTGTTTGATCCGCATAAAAAATTCGTAAAAGTGTGGATTAGAATTATTTATTTAATCTAGACTGCTCCATATCAGTAGTATACAGTGAGCAGAATAATTCCAATATACTTTACTAAGTGCTAAACAAAAATAGTATTTTAGTGGTAAACTTAAAACTTGATAAATACATCTTCGCTGTGGTAGCGAAATCTTACCCTATCAAAAGATAAACAATTCTTACTATTTTTAGTTAAAGCTGTAATATGACGCAAAATCGATGTCTGATATGATCTACCTTAATATTTTCTATCGCATGATCATATATTTGGAGCACTCCCAGTGAAGATCCTACTGTTACATTGCTTTCTCGTAATCGATTAATTAACAGACTTGCTGTCTATAACATGAAATTTCGACGTAGAACATAAAAAAATTTTCCTTCAAAACTTGTAACGTTTGACGTAAGACATATTGATTGATATAAAATTAGTTATTCTTCTAAAATTTCAGTAGTGTATTGTAAAATCATTGTTATAGAAAGAGAAATTTGCGCACGTTACTACGACCTAGCCATCCTAATAGATACCAAATTTTACTCATTATAGTACAATTACCGGCGAATAAGTTGAAGAAATATCGTAAACAACGGCGATGTTACTCCAGTTGAAATGCTTTACGAAAGTAATTTGAGCTTCGATGTAAGACGCATCCGATAATGTAGTACGATAAAAATAGGGAAATTTGTCTCGATTATTCATAGTAACAGAAACTGAACTGGAAGATATCTGAGAAGAATAAGAAAATTCCAGTAGTCATTCACTCTAAATCATATCAAGAAGAATTCTGTTATAATATCGAACATACAGCAATAAAAGAAATGATACAAATAATTTACAATTTGTATGGTTATTTTTAGTTCATAATTGACTTAAACAGTAATTATCCAATCATTAGTATCTGTATTATATAATTGCTACTGTAAGATGGTGCGTCTATGCAGACTTGAATTCGTCATTTATATCATAATTATCAGTAGTTTAATACATTCAATTGGTATTAAAAATGGATCTATGATGTATTCTGACGACAATGAAGTAAAAACTATCTTTAATGATTGTGTAGATAATCAAGAAAAACAAATTTCGATAGAGATATAAGGCAATTTACGTAATGATTCTTCAATACATTACCGTTGCCAAGTTCCAGTCCTTCGTAGTTAAGCATACGACTTCGGAGACACTAGATGCGAGTAATCCAATAATGCCATATTTTATGGGTTTTTCAGCCACCATATGAATGAAATCATTGACGGCAGTTCCTGCGTTGAACTAAGAAAGGACATAGCGTACATATTTTTAAACCTCTTTTACTTGTAGTATCTTTATACACATATAAATATTCCAACGTTACGCTCATGTAGCAAAAACATTGATTTTTACAGTATATGGTTGCTATAATAGCCTTAATGTCAGGCGTGTAATATCGAAAAACTGAGTTATATAGATTTAATTCAATTTAATTAATTAAAGATATGTCATTTCTGCTGCAATTTTGGGGTTTAAACAAAGAATAGGGCATAGTGTTGTCACAGTTATCAAAATAACTTGGATATGGAATAGTAGTTTATGATAACATTTTGTTTTGAAATGTTTAGAAGTATGAGCTACTACTTTAGGAATTGTTATTATTAGTAATAGCCTAAGTTATTATGATATTATGATGATATCGTAATATGTTACAAGTATGTATCGAGAATATAGGGGCTTGACAGGGCTTACAGTCGAAGTAGATTTACGTATGAAATTGTTTATTACCTCGAATGTCCGTATTTGAAAATTCAATGGTATTAACGTGTTTGTTATTGAAATATGTTAATAGCATAATAAATATGTTTATAATTATTGAAAGAGTATATAATAAGGACTGTGATCAATAAAAAGCGATCCAGGTCAAGGCTAAGTGGTGTGATAGCTTTACATCGTATATTGTGTTGAACAAGTTAGTTACTATTCGTATAGTAGCTTTAATATCAGCCGTGTCATGGGAAAGGACTGAGCTATCTAGGTCTAAAGATATGTCGCTTCTACTGTAATTTCGAGACTAAAACTAAGAATGGAGAATAGCGGACCTTTTTAAAATCTCTTTTTACTTATACTATGTATCTTTTGACCTATATAAATATTCCAATGCTATGTAACTGTGTAATGTAACTAGTATTGTGATTGTAGACTATTAGCCATGTTTAGTATAATGTACGGTAGATATTTATCCTAAGAGATATTTGGTAGCTATAACTATAGACTGTAGTGGTAAAGACTCTATGCTAGAGTACAGATGGCTATATACAGTAAGGTGTTGAGTTACTAATAAGGCTATAGGTAAAAATAGAACTGTAAATCATATGTATTAAAGGACTAAAAATAGAGTACTTTATAGCTTTTAGTATGTAACCAGTACTATTTTACTATAAAAAATACCTAGAAAGTGATAGCGTTCTTAAGTTTTACCCTACCAAATCATCATGTCGCCATCTTTTCTTCTTCATTATTTTACAAGGTATTATATAAAGATTACTATAGAAGTAGCCCGAGAGCAATTGCCTAATCTAAAGAAAGGGAGTTTGATCGTCTATTCAAATTGTAAAGGAATTTGACTTAGTAGCAAAACCCTATCCTTAGAAAAAGGAGATTTATAACATGACGGTAAAGTACTGTAATGTAGTCTATAATCGTACAGTTACCGTACAATCTGACGCTAAAACATCAACTGTCAATACTCGCGAATACTCAGCGATACTAATATCAGAAAAATAGTCGTAATAGTCATATAAATTTTTTTGATAAGCGATTACTGTGATCTTTATAAAAAACCGAATTTTTCGGATTTCGGAACCGGTCGGATTTATGTCCGATATAATTTTCCTGTTTTAATTTATGTCTGATATAATTTTTCTGTTTTAATTTTTTGGGGATTTTTGTTCATGAAAAATATCGTAAGAGTTGGTTTTTGAAATTTATAACTTTTTGCTATGAATTTGAAACTTTGAAATTTTATGACGTGACTTGAAGTCACATTAGGAGAATTTAGTGAGGAAAATAGAATATAAGATGGAAATTGGCAGAGGTTGTGTTGATTTTAAGTAGTTAGGCTGTTGTTTTTATGACTAAATCTTGATGTTTAAAGGTTGATTTTTAGACTTTTATAGTGTATTAATGATAGAAATTATGTTAGAAGTGAAGTTTGATGTATTTTTATAGTTAGCTTTTTAGTTTTATAGTGTTTTGTAAGGGAATCGTAGGGTAAATTGTGTCTGAACTTTGAATGATTTTTGTTTTCTTAAATGGTGCAAAGTAGTTTTCTAAAACGGATCTTAAGAGCGATTGGTTAGCAAATGTTTAGTTTTAAATACCTCTGACGGCTCTACGAAGCCTATGAATGATAGTGCAATTAGAAAATTTAGAGGGAGAGTAGAAGAAGATTTTATTTGAAGAACTTGTTGAATTTAAAAGGCCTTCGGGGTCGAATTGTCGTAAGTTAAAACGTTCTTCTTTTTGAAAGGTTGTTTGGTCGTTGACAGTTTTTAAGTCTGTCATTTATTTTAATAATACTTAAAGCTAAGTATTTGTAATGTTGTTCGGTTTATACTTCTCTCCATTTTTTTTTGTAATAAATTGTTGTTCGGTTATTTCCCCAAATTTTATTAGCGTTAAGTCGACCGGAGTGCAACGAAAGTAGAATCAAAGTTTGTTAAAGTTTTGTAGCTTGCTCTCTACACATTTCATTTCATTACACATATATTAGGATATGGTTAATTCATTGTACTTTGGCTGGTGTGAATATTGTCTACGTAAGTACTGCAGTCGTATCCATATCGGATTAATGATGGTCCGCAGTAGAATAGTCTTACTAAGAATAATTTAACTGTGTGTAAAATAAGGTAAAAGGTTGCCATGCGGATTGTAGCTGCGAATGCTACGGAAAGTATAAAAGCATGGAACTTTAGATTATTCTGTTAGTTCGTTCTAGAAGTCTTTAGAAGTAGTATTGGGCTAGAGTAGAGCTGTGTGTAGTTAATCTTTGTATAAGATTCAATAAAGCCCTTATTTTTCTAAAATTTGGAATTTCGTGATTGGTATATATCACAAACTGTTACTGAAAATTGATTTTTAGAGTATACATCGCTATAATAGTATTAACATGAAGCGTGCAATAGGAAATGGGTAAGCTAAATAGATTGAAAATTATGTAGTTAAGCGGGTTTATTTATACACCGCAAAACTGGACACAAATCTATAGTAGTATACTCGCTACTTTAATTACGCATTACCAAATAAATTGTTCATTTGATCGCTATTTGCATTTAGAACCTTTGACAACACTATATACCGTCTAATTGTCAAAGATACAGCTGGAGAGAAATCGATTTCGAAAAATAGAATGCTATCACAAGTGATTAATTAAATGGTGAGCCGTGATATTCTACAAAAATACATTATGTTTAGCTATATCAGCAACTTAATCACTTTAATTTGCAGGGAAATAAGTAAGTTTGTTTTACTAGGATAAAATTGATGATCAGAAAGCATAAATCTAAGACATCGTTGGCATAATTATTGTTCTCTGGACAAATAAGAGATGCTTAGAATAGAGTGAACTTTACGTTATTGCTTAGCCCGTTTGAGGTGTTAGTTTAAATTAGTAATTTATACCCTAAAAATAGTTAGAGCCTTCTTTGAAGTACTAGTATAAGCGTATCTTCGAATCTTCTTGAACTATAAATAAGAATTTCAAGTTACAAACCTAGAATGGAGAATGTAGTTAAAGTATAGAGGATGGAAGAAAGATATGAGAAGGGCTGGATAATTAAATTTATAGAGGTCGTTGATAAAGAACTACAGAATAAATCTACAATTAATCTGTCATTGAAAATCATTTAAGCAGGTGTTAATCTTGATTCAGATTACATTGACTTTCAACTTGATTCTAAATTAAATGAGATTTGCTTCCCTGAAAATTTACACAGTTTAATAACTGTCACTTTTATAAGCATTGGCATAGCGATTTATTATGAATATTTCAATTCATGTTATGATCGATTCTTAGAGTAGAATCATTGCCGAAGCAATGCTTAAATTAATTCATTATCGCTCTTTTGTCTTAACGTAATTCTCAAAGCAGTCAGCACGGCCATGAACATGGCTACGAATACAAGGTTTAGGATCTAACATTATCTAGCAGATGCAACTATATGCGTTAAAAAAGGCGAATTAAATTTGTGTTATTGTGTATGGCAAAGTATCATAATGGATGGATGTGATCTTTGAGCGTAACAATAGTTTTGATAAAGTCATTCAGTAAGAAATTATCTAAGAGATAGATAAAATAAAATCTATAGATGTGCAACGTAAACAATAAATCACATAAAGGACATTATCCTACATGATTTATGCATTCTGACATCGTCAAGAAATATCGATGACTACAGGAGCATATTTTAAGAATTAAATCACTAGCTAATTACCGCTATATAATAAAAAAAGATGTCTTCAATTAGACTTATTTTCCAGTAAAGTAGGAAAAGATTATAACGCACACAATGTAATAAATTTAATATATTTTTCAATTACAATGATATTTAATGTCATTAAAGGTCTACAATTAGTATAACTACCTTAGATTTAAGTTGGCTCCATTTAATAGATATGATAGGAAAAGATCGATTGGAAGGCAAGGAATTGATATAGCATGAGCATCCACATGTATTATGATAGATATTTGTAATAAAATTTATAAACTCTACGTTTAAAAATGCACAATCATCCCTATATTTAGGATTAGAATACTAAGATATCATTGTGTAAAATAAGTGTAAAGAATTTCCATAGTTACGTAAGAATGTAAAACTGCTACAATTTATTGTCAAGTACCAAATAATTCATAATGTAAAATTAATAAAAGTATTTATTGATGATAAGTTATGCATATTCTAATTCATTAAATAAATGACACTTATAAAGACATAAATGATTATATGCGATGACTTTTAATTAATTAATAAATGATGGATGTATTGTAGGTAAGGTTAGTAAATATTAGACCGTCATAGTTATAAAATATGGATTGCAGCCATGAAAATAGTTTTACTTCGCATCTATAGCTTAAGATAACTTTTTCTTTTTTACTTATTACAAATATAAAATTGCTACAGTAGGAGTTCTTGCTCTTGGTAGTAGCAAAGTAAATCGTTATGATACCGTGATACTATGATACTTTGATAGAATAGTAATATATAATAGATAGGAGGTTTAAACTAGGAACACCCGTAAAGAATAAATCGTATGATAATAAATTTAACTCTGATATTGCGATTTAAATTGGTAAGATATGATCATGATTCTAAAAGTAAAGCTGTAACT